AAAAAGTGAAATGGATAAACATAAATACTAAACATTATTGTTGTGAAAAGTTTCATAGACGAGTTAGAGTTCCATCGTTGTAGTTTTTTTTGTATACCATGAACATTGAAGATTCGCTATTTAATAATTCAAATACACATGTATCTCTGATTTGTAGTTCCTTCTCTGTAAAAAAATTGGGCTAACCTACAGTAAGACTGTACATCACACCGTTTGGTCTTGAATTTGCAGCGATATCCCAGTTGTGATGTAGAGAATCATAGAGCCGAACATTTTGCACATATCTTGGTAGATGGTTCTTGCAAACCTTCCTGGTATAGATTTCGAAAAAATATGGATACTGATGTTAAGATTAAAATAATGTGAAAAATGTAAATATAGAATGATATATTAAAGATAGCCTACAATTTTTCGATGGTTGTTCTGATTGAGCGTGAATGTTACTTCGAATGCAAGATTATCCAGATGTAAAGCCTCGTCTTCTTCAACATCAAAGTCATATATAACCTCTGATCTAGAATGATCAAACATCCTCATATTGAACGTTGAATTTCCATTATATTCAAATACTACAACAAAACCATCCTGCAAGTTATGATGGTCAAAAAATTACTCACATCCATTAGTCAAATATATTTCTCCATCGATTGTTTGTAACTGTATGGTTACAATTATACCATCATACAAAGTTAATCGTACTCTATCACCCAATTTATGTCTCCAACAATTGACAAGAGATGTAAGAAGCATCTACATATATGAAAAAAATATAGGCAGTAAATAAAACATTCATACAAATATGAAATGAAAGAAGATATTATTATATAACTTACTAAACGGATGTTATGATTTAGTGAAACATTGACAATTTTGAAGAAGGTATGTGGCACATCCATTTTTGTGTTGATAAACTGCAGTATGTATGATTTTAAACACAATTAAAGATTGAAAATTAGATATCATTTAAAACTACGAATTTATTTTGAAACAATTGTAGTAAAAGAATCAAGAAAGAAACACTAGATTAAACCTGATTTTTTTATGAAAACTTGATAGGTAAAGGTAAAGATATGTAAATTGGTTAAGTATGAAGAAATTGTATGATAAGCTATTTAAACTAAACAATACTTGTCATTTTTTAAGAGAAGATTTGACAACAGCTTCACGAGGTAGAAATAGACAAAGTAAGAAATAGACAAAATACTTCAGACAAAACACTCTTCCCGGAATTTTTTTAGATACGTCTGCTAGATTTGGTTAAAAATGAATTTTATTACTAAGATGTAAAGTGCTAAATAGTGGATTGAAATAAAAAAAAATGACTAATGAGATTAAGAAGAAATAAAAGTATAATTTTATGTAATTAACAAAAGAACAGTTTAGTTATACAATAAAACTGTCCACTTAGTTTGATATGGTCTAATATGGCAATCAATTGTTTTTTTACTGACAAAGTAAAAAATTAATAATTAATAATTTAAATCGCAAAAAAAAAAAGGCAAATGCTTCGTATAGTGCGGAGCACTAGCTAGAATGCTCCACACTGTGCGGAGCAACTTTGCTAAAGTTAAGTGCGGAAGAACTTTGCTATGATTAAGACTGCAAAAAAAAAAGGCTAATATATCATTTAGATTATATGATTACTCAGTAAAACAATTATTAAACAATTAATAATTTAGCAAATAAAAATTTAAATCAAAACAAAAGGAGAAAAAAGGAAGGAAATACTTCGCAAAGTGCAGAGCACTTGTTGGTGTTGCTCTGCACTGTGCGGAGAAGTTGCAGACAGAGCAATTTTTTTCCTTTTCTTTTAGATTTTTTTTTCCTTTTGTTTTCTTTTGGATTGAAATTATTATTTATTATTAATTGTTTATGTCATGAGCTACTTGTCATACTTCTATCTCTGAATTTTACACCTTCACGAGGTATACATATTATTATTATTTTTCTTTTTGCATACTACTGGCGGTAAACTAGTCATTCCCATACATTACTATGTAGTTATATACTTACAAATTTCATTCAGACTATTATATTCCAATACATTATATTCTAGAATGTATTTATATATAACAGCCATATTTCACGGATTTTATCTAATTTTTTTTAACTTTAAACCATTTCATTTTCCTTGCACACAAGAGTGATTTTTTTTCCTTTTTAATGCTTCAAACAGTGCGAAGCAATTTTGGCAAGTCCTCCATACTATTGCAGAGCAAACTTTTTTCCATTTTCTTTTGGAAATTTTTTTCCCTTTTGTTTTTTGATTGAAATTATTATTTACTAAATAATTAA